CCACGTCTCCTACTACCTGCATCCATGTCAACAATTGTTTCATTCTCTAGTGGTGAAACAGCCACAGGCTTCCACTTCACAGATGTGGCTCTTTCTCCACCAGGTTTATTTGCCTTTATTGCTGCATAAGATTGCCGGCAGAGTCCTCAGAAAGCACCCGCCAAGGGGCACATGCAGAGATGTCCTCACTGCCTCCTTCGCCATCTGAATCAGAGCCATTTCTGAGCTTTATCTTTTTAAAATAGCCCAGCTGACATTTTATGTTTTGTTTTATTTGGAGGCTGGGGAATAATTCAAGCGCAAGAACGGGGTTTTATAGCCTCTCCTGCATACTTTTCACCAAAGTGTCATTTTTCTCAGCTCTGAAATTATGGGCCTGTCCTCAGAGAACATTGTCACAGCCTGTCCCATCCACGAAACACTTCTAATGCCCTTCCTGAACGAACGAGCCCATTTGCAGCAAGATGACGTGTTGGAGCTGAGATCTGATCAATGTGAAAAATAGAGCCGGAGGAAATGGTCCTCAAACCGGCTGACACACGGGCTCTGATAAGACGCTTTGCTCATAAAATGTTATTCTTATTAAAATCCCAAGTGACTCAGGCTCTCCGTCTCCTCCATGTGGCTTTGTAGATTCTGTCTGGTGAGTCACCTACAATGGAATTCATTTTCTCAGAGCTCAGGAACCCGGCCGAGTCCTCCCCAGCTCCTCCTAAAAAGCAGTGATCATCGCCTCACCGCCGTTCATTTGCACTGGGAGCCATGCTAATGGTCAGAAGGGCTTTTATTCCCATTCTCCAGATGAGGAGAATAAGGCTCAGCATAAGATGCCTACAATTGTATAACTACTATATCAATTCCCTATTGCTGTGTAACAATAGCCACTAACTTTAAAGCTTAGAACAACTCTCATTTTTCTCCCTCGCTGTTTCCCTGGGTCAGGAGTCGGGGCACAGCTTAGCTGGCTCCTCTGCTCAGGGTGTCCCACGCTGCCATGCAGGTGCCCGCTGGGCTGCACTCCCTTCTGGACCTTGCTGGGCCTCTCCCAAGTTCTCGTGGCTGGTGGCAGCATTCAGTCCCTTGTGGCTGCAGGACTGAAGTCCCCCTTCCCTTGCTGGCTCTCAGCTCCTAGAGGCTTGTGCAGCCGCAGCCCTGGGGTCCGCTCACGCATGACCACACATGGCTTCGAAGCCTGCAAGGGAGGATGCCTCGCTGCCGTGTGCTGAGCTGGAGTGTGGTGTAGTGTGGTCTTGGGAAGGACGCCTGTGTTCTCCTTGCATTCCCTTGGCTAGAAGCCTTTCACCCTCTGCCTTCTGTTGTGTCATCTGCAGAATGAGAACTTACTCCTGGGCTGTGTGAGGGACTCTGTCATCATCAGATGTCACCCTGAGGTCATGTCTTCTGAAAGCCCTTCCCTGGCCGCCTACAAAAGCAGGGCCCTCGTTGCGCTCTTCTCCAGACCCTCAGAGCACCTGCCCCGGCTCGTGATCATCTCGTTTGCTCATGAGCTTCCCTCCCAGGTGGCAGCTCCCTTCAGCTGGGTCTGTCTCCCTCCCTGCGGATTCCCCTGATCACGGAGGGGACATCCCAGAAATGCCTGAGAATCTTAGGACTTTGTGCTAAGAGTGGACACAGAGTGAACACGAGCCCGTATCAGATATTTGTCCCGCACCACAGAGGAAACAAGCACAGGCAGGGTTCACCCCGATAGTTGAAGGGGCTGGGGTGCACCCCAATCCATCTGCTCCTGAGCAGGCCTCACCCGGATGGGATAGCCTTGTTGCTGGGGCTGTGGGGTATAGCTCACCAGGCCCCCCACTCCTGTGCCCTGTTTGGTCCTCGTGACATGAGGGGATGGGCCACATGGATGTGGGCTCAGGTGGGCAGCGGGCCTGTCCAAGGTCACTGTATGGTCAGTGGGGACCCCTGGCTGCCACTCTCAGTTTGCCGGCCACCCCCACCTTCTGCCCAGCCAGGGGTGGTAGCTTCCTGTGGCTGCTGCAGCAAATTACTACAAAATTGGTGCCTTAAAACAACACAAATGCATTATCTCACCTTTCTGGCCAGAAGACTGAAATCAGGGTGTCAGCAGGGCCACGCTCCCCAGAGACTCTCAGGGGAAATCCTTGTCTTTCTCTTCCAGCCTCTGGGGGCCCCTGGTGTTCCCTGGCTCGCAGCCGCATCACCCCAGTCTCTGCCTCCATCTCCACAAGCCTTCCCTCCTTTGTGCCTGTGTGTCCAAGTCTGCACCTCCCGAAGTCAATAGTACCCCTAGGATGATTTCGTCTCAGGATCCTTAACTAATTCCACAGGCTCTATTTCCAGATAGGGTCACATTCTGAGGTCCAGTAGACATGAATTCTGGGGAGACCCTTCACCCCAGTACATCAGGTCACCTCTCCTTAGGCCTTCCACCCACCACCTTTTGTTGGTCTGACAGCCGGGTCTGTCCTGTCCACATGCACCCCACCATTTGTGCTGAAGCTGTCCTGTTCCTTCTTCCCTGGGCTCCATGGGGTCTGTGCCACCACCCCACACTGCACCCAGCCCATGTATCACCCTCTCCCACTGCTTCTGAGCTGCAGAAGGGGAGACTGCATCCCCAGCCTCTGCTACCCAGCGCTCTACCCGGACCTGCCTGGAGGAGGCATTTGAGAAATGTTCATGGAAGCAAACGGACTGGGAGACAAGGAAGTGTGGGGAGGAGGAAGGGGACGAGGTTGCAGGCAGACGGAAGAAGAGAGGTGAGAGGAAGGAAGGGAAGAAGGGTGGGGGCAGGTAAGAACCCCAAGAGAGAGCGTGAGGGCATGCAGCCTCCATGGAGGCAGCAGCTTCCAGCCGTGACCTCTGTGGACACTTTGGGGTCATGCTTCCAGAGCCCCGACCCCACCACCTCTGAGATCCGCACACCCCAGACAAAGCCATCCCAGTCCCAGTATCACCTTATGGCCTCACGTGCACTTTAACATTTGCTGCTGTGTTGCCAACCTTGATGAGGGTTATTTTCCCTTTGCTCACCCTTTCTTGAGAAGCCCATCTTGGAGGTGCCCTGGACAGGATCCGGGTGCGGATTTGATCCACAAACACCTGACTGTAGGTCTTCTGATTTTGTGTTAATTTGGTAAGTTCTCAAGTTCATCCTCTCCAAAGGGACTTCACAATCTCTGTGGTCACCATGGATGTTTTTGTGAACTTGGCAGTGGGGTCCCATTGCTTAATGCTTGTCAATATCATGGGCTTAAAAAACCCACAGTGAAAATGAAAATTTTAATATAAAGGTGAGCATTTCTTTTTTTCCCAAAGCCATAGACACTGCATCACATTATTACAAATAATCAGGGTGTTTTCGGGTAGAATTACTATTTGGTAAACTCAGGAGCAAGTACTTTTTATTTCAAGGAATGCTGTCATTGGCCTCAGAAGATTTGACATTTATTATAAATGAGTGAGTGGGTTTGCATTTCTAAAATCCACGGTCTTAATATAGAACTTTGGAAAGTATGTGCATGTTAATGGTAAGTATTTGGGGCTGGAGGTGTCAGCTGAGCGTGCGGAAGGCTGGGCTTGCTTACACCCATTCCTCCTTTCCTGTCTCACCTGTTTCCTGTGTGCTGACAAAGATCCTCACCCCCGCCAAATGTTTCTTGGGCTCTGCTGAGTTCTTTTGCAACTAAGGCACAACTTCTGGGCTGCCACGTTGGTCTCCGCACTGTCTGATCTTAGCAAGAGCCTGTCAGGTCAGGCGAGCCAGAATCTCCCACCCTCCATTCTGATCGGGTTCTCATCCCCCAGCTGGTGTCTGATGCCCTGACCCACCTTCAGCGAGAATCCTAGTGGGTCGCTTTACACAGAATCTCCCCCCAGCGCTGATGTTTCTAGCTGGTCTTTCTCTTAATTCCTTGACCCCCACCTGCTCCTTGGCTCTTAATTCCCATTTATTCATATTGTGGTCAGAATTGAGCTCATTCTAGGCTAAGGTTTCTTTTCCCCTATTGCACCTGTCCTGAATACAATCTGTTTTTACCACTTTAATTACTGTCCAGCTCTGGTTTTTCTCTGACAGCATCTATTAGCAACAGGCACCATGCCAGGCAGGGTGCAGAGGAGAAGAAGGCAGAGGCCCTGCCTTTCAAAAGCACAACTTGGAGTTGGAAACCTTTGGCTATAATGGTGACATTGAGCAGAACTTTCCAGAAACTCTCCAGCCCAGACTTGCTGTGTTCATGCATGTGATTCACTATGTTATTCTAAAAAGGGATCCTCAAACTTTCTCCCTAAAGGACCAGATAATAAATATTTTAGGCTTTGAGGGCCACAGTGATCTCTAGTGTACATTCCTTCACATTTTTGCATTGTGAATGTGTTTTGTTTTTACAACCCTTTAAAAATGTCCAGGTCCTTCTTAGCTCACAGACCATTCACAAAGACTGGCGGGGGGGCTGGGGGCGGCTGATTTCTGACCTGGATGAGTTACAGACCCTTCTGGGAGATTACACGGCAAGATGCGAAGGCCAAATTCCATCAGGAAGGGTTGTATCTATACCTGCAGGCAGAGACCGTGTCTCCCACTTCTGGGAGTCACCAGGCCAGAAGTTGTTAGGAGTAATAACTTTGTATGGGAACAGATGGTAGCTACATTTATTGTGGTGAGCATTTTATAATGCGTATAAATGTTGAATCACTATGTTGTACACCTGAAACTAGTATAATATCATATGTCAACTGTATTTCAATTAAAAAAATGATTAAGGAGAAAAAGAATATCCAGGAAAAAAATATTCACACAATCCACTTGCAGTTCCAGGAAAGAGAAGGAAGCAGGAACACAGGCTTTCTGTTATCATCCTAATTACTCCCCTGCCTCCCATCTGAGATCTCAGCCCAGGGAGAGATAGGCTCGCTGGCTGTTGCCAGGGTTTGTCCCCAAGTGTCCTATCTGTCATGTGCTCATCAATAAGCTCCAGGAATCACATTTTCAGCTTCTTTGTTTTCTCTTACAGAGACATCAAGCCAGACAACATATTGCTGGATGAACACGGTAAGCCTGCTGTGAATGCTCTATAGGGCTGCTCTTTCGGTGGGGTGTTTGAGGACCTGGGAATCCTGTAAATCAGGTTTCCAGGATGTCTGGAAAGCCTTTCTTGATTTCATCTTAGTGGGTGAACAGCCATGTGAATTTCTGGTCTGTGTCCTGCCACGTGAGTCAAGTGCAATGTATTTGAAGGTTTCGCATCTGAAGACATCACTGCTCCACCCTGGTGTGAAAACAGCAGGTTGGAGGGGGAAATGGCAAAAGGGTTGGGAATCCCTGAGTTCCCCACCCCATCTCCTCTGCCTATGAAACTGTGGCTTCAGAAAAGTCCCTTTCCTGTCTGAGCCTCAATGTCATCTTCTGTAACACAGGGAAAAGGGTGCCCACTTTCTAGATGGTCATGGAATCAAACGGGATAGTGTATGCCTGGCATGTCAGAAGCCAGTAATCAGGAACTCTCTAAGCCTCCCCTCGCCAAGGCTTCTTAAGCTTTTACTGCACACAGATCCTGAGCATCTTGTTAAACCAATTCAGTGGGTCTGGGAGGGGCCTGGGATTCTGCATTTCTGAGGGCTCCCAGGTGAGGCGTACGCCGCTGGTGCAGCGGCCATACTTCGAGAAGCTAGGCTCCATGTCAGGGGCTCTCCCACTAGTCTCACTAGAATCCCCTGGGGGACATGGTAAGAACCAAAAGCCAGACGCTGTCCTACATCAGGAAGCCTGGGCCAACCCCAGGGATGACATGCTCAGCTAAGTCAGACCCACAGGTCTAGGGCGTGCCCAGCGATACCCAGCCCGGCTGACCTAATGGTCGACTGCAGTTCGATGCCAACTGCAGCTTTGCAGCCTCCACCGCAGACAGCCTTGGAGGCTAACCTCCCTAACACTGCTTCATGGGCTTGTCCCCAAGGGCTTGCAGGAGGGTGGGCTGCAATGAGCAGGGGGACTTTTCCGAAGTGTTGCCGAATTGTTCAGAGGCGAGTCTGTCCAACTCCAAGCCAGTCTGCCTGGCCCCAGCAGGCTGAAGCACTAGCCTCTTTCTGAAGCCCCTGTAGGACCTCATATGTGTCACCAGCCTATCGCGGGGAATCCTACCCTGCTGTGTAAACCCCTTGGTATTGGGAGGTGGAGCGGAAGTGGAGGATGGGACCATCTGGGCTGGAGTTTTCTGCCGGATGCTGAAAGCAGAGTGGGTGCTTTGGGGTGGTGAGTTGAGACCCCTGTGCTCCTGAATGGAAGGCCAGTGATGGCCCTAAGACCCCAGGGCTGCTGGGCACAGCTGAGGATGCAAGTCATAATCCCCAGTTTGTATGTAAAAGTCAGGATCCCCAGACGTGGAGCTCAGCTGACCGACCCTTCAGCTGGCTGTGTGTCTTTGGGCAAGTTGCTTCTCCTCTCTGAAGCTCGGCCTTCCCAGCAGTAAAACAGAAGTAATACTGCCCTGCAGGGGTGCTGAAGGTCCAAGAGGAGACGGTGAAGGTCAACCACTGTTGCTCATACGTGTGGGCTCCCCAGGCAGTGCAAACGGGAAACTTAGGAGCCGGGATTTCTCAGGATTCTCTAGGAGAGAAGGACCCGGGAGGAGCTCATGGCGTGACCCTCCTGTCCCTGATCATGACAGACACACTCATCAGCTTTTCTTTTCCTTCTTAGGCATTGTTGCCTTTTTTCCCTCCAGCTTTATGGAGGTGTGACTGGCAATAAAAATTGTATATATTTAAGTTGTACAATGTGATTGTTTTAAGGCATGGAACATAATGAGTTAATGTATGTATATGGTGTGAAATGGTCACCACAGTCAAGTTAATTAACATATCCATCACCTCACATGGTTCCCTTTTCGTTGTGTGTGGTGAGAACATTTAAGAGTGGCCCTTGTAGCAAATTTCCAATGTACAACACAGTCACCATGCTGTACATCAGATCCCTTTAACCTCCGGTCAGCTGCATTACAACACGGTTTGCAGAACAGGGAACTGTGCATTGCTGTTTAAAGAGTTTGATCAGCGGTCTCATTAAGTGTTTTCTCGGAGAACAAGTTGGTTGTCTGTGTTTGCAGTGAAATATAAGCGTAATTGAATAAATGCATTAATATTTTATTAATAATGTTCAAGATCTGCTGGTTACACAAAATCCAAGACTCTCGCACAAGCTTCTCTGCCCCCCCCAGTGTCTGCTTTGCATTCTGATCTTCCTGGCTGGGTTTTATCTTCTAGAATGGGCACTTTAATTCTGCTCTGGGATTTGAGGTTTCTTGGCCGGCAGGACAAGGACAGACAGACCATACCTGCAGGTAGAATGAAGCTTTTAGGAAGACAGAGCGTCTTAGGGGAATGGGGTGAAGAGCTGGGTGTGCTTTAGGGCTGATGGCAAACAGCCCAAGGAAATGGGGGGTTTAAGCTGTAGAAGGACTGGGAGGAGTTGCATTCATTCTCTTCATTCATTCATTCATTCATTTGGTACGTAAGGAAGGGTAATGAAAAGCACGTAATGGTAATGACACAACTAGAAACACCCAGTTAGCTCACAGGTCTTGAGGATTAAGCTCTTGTAGGCGAGGCTTGCACCTAAGACTGAGGTCAGGTAGGGTCAGCTGGGAAGCTCCAGTGATGGCTGTACCCCTCGCGGGTCTGAGGTCACCCGGCTGCAGGCACATCATGGCCTTGGCTGGCCTGCTAAGGGCTCAGCCCTGCTCCTCATGAGTCCATCAGGCAGGCCAGCCCCGCGTGGCCTCACACAGCCGTGCACAAGCAGGAGCAGGGGGAGCCCCATCGTTAAGCCTCCACCTCTGTCACATTTGCTACCATCCCAGGGGGCAGAACAAGTCGCATGACCCAGCCTAGGGCTGGGGGCGGACGGGAGAGCCCTGCAAAGGTCACGGCAAGGGGGTGATCCAGAGAGGGGAACGCAGCCATCTGGGAGAGCTGCCTGCACAGGCAGGCACTTGGCCTCTTCACAGGGAGTGCGAATTCCCCAGAGCAGGGCCCAGAGCAGAGGGCCAGAGACTCTGTATTGAGGAAAGTGACTCTTTCATTTTTGCAGACCTACCGTAGGCCAGGCATTGTGCCAGGTGACCGAAGGCCCCAGAGCCACCTTGGTCAGGGCCTCGTGGGCTAGGGTGGCTGGTCTCAGCCACAGCCCCACAGCACCCAAGGAAGGGAAAAAGTCCTGGGGCCGAAGCCCCACCCTCAGAGGCACTGGTTTGATGCGCTGTCTAGGAGTGAGTGCTGGGTGGGGGGATTTTAAGGTTCCCAGGGGGTTCTAAGGCATGGCCAGGGTGAGGGAAGGACAGAAGGGTAACCTGGTCTGGGCTGGGCAAGATGGAAGGGCAGCGAGGTGGGCAGGACCAGGGAGGGCTCCCTGCATCCTCAGCGTGAGCAGGGACAACAGAGCTTTCGGCAGCAACTGAGAAAACCGTGGCGGGAGGCCACGGAGACCCCACAGGGCTGTGACTTTCTCACAGCTGGCTATGACGTGTAGAGCGCACTCTTCCCTAATGGGCTTTGGAACCAGCCCTTGGGGATCAGACACCTGACCTGGATCTTTAGTAACCGGTGTCAGCAGACTCACGGCAGAGCAAATTTGTTTTTCCTATTGTACTAACCGTGTCTTCTGTTTTCTGTCCCCGGATGCTTGAATTGTTCACATTCCAGGCTAACCCCGCTACCCTGATTACGTCAGGGCCGGGTACCAGCCAGGGGCAGTCCCTGTACCCCCGAGCAAATTATTCTGTTAATTATTTGGACTAGCCAGTCCTAAACCGTGCGCCCGGCCCTGCCTGTTCCTTCCCACAGAAACCCCCAGAAGGGCTCCTGCCCATGTTCCCAGCCCCGCCTGTGCCTGCCCCATGCATCCCGTGTGGCCCCCGTGGTGTGGCATGCCCCCTCCTCTTGGGAACTGTAACAAGCTTTTTTCAGTGGCAGTGATCTCCTGACCTGTTGGCTTTACTATACCTCAAATTTTCTATTAATAGGCTGTATGTCAGAGCACTTATTAACTGGACCCATTTCAAAGACTTGCCCTCCATCGGCACTAGCATATCTATTGGCCAGTGTGGTGAGTGCACCCCACACCAGCAGTGACCAGCAGCAGCGACACCCACCCCTCCCTTCCCAAAACATCCTATGTGCCGCCTCCACCCTGCTGGGAGGAAGAGCCTCCCAGAGATGAACCAAGGAGGCACATGTTGTTTCTGCTGCCTCCAATCTAGGGATTGGAGTCCCTGAAAAGAAAGCTAGCAGGAGAGCTGGGGACAGAGGTGTCCCCAGGTGTGAGGAGCCATAGCCACAGGGGGTGCCATTAATCAGACAGGGTTCCAAGTGTTGGAGGACAAAGTGTGGGAACGGGATTTAAAGCCACCCTGGGCACCTTTGGAGGACAGCATGAGATTCTTTTCAGAAGCCTTCAGGGAAGAGACATGCCATGCAATGCCACGGGAGGGCCCTGAAGACCTAAAGACTGGGTGCAGCGGTCTCGGGGGCCCCCCAGTAAATAGCCCCTGTATTAGTTTCCTACTGCTGCTGAAACAAAGTCACACAAACCTAGAGGCTTCCTCATCAGGTTATTGGCTCGGTGCTGGTGGAGGTTTGAGGCAGGGTCCTGCCCCCTCCAAGGGCACTCTGCAGCTGTCTGCTGGCTTCAGGGCTCCTTCAGCTTGTGGCAGGAGAACCCCAATCTTCACATGCGTGTCTCTGCAAATTTCCCTTTTCTGTAAGAACCCCACCAGTCATGTTAGATTAGGGCCCACCTGCCCCAATAGCATCTCAGCTTAATTACATCTTCAATGACCATATTTCCAAACAAGGTCACCTTCTGAGGTGCTGGGAGTTACGACCTCAACATAGAAATTTGGTGGGGACACAATTCAACTAGTCACAGCCCTGTCTTCCCCACGTGGGATTTTAACAAATAAAATAAGGAAATAGCAGATAGAGGTCAAGATATCATCTTCATTGCTGATCAAAGCTTGAATTTGTGTGAGTCAAAAGGGGCTTCACACTCCAGGA